TGAGATTTTTAGGAATTTCATACATACTTCCTGAATTGTTTAAAATGAGGTTACTGCTCATATCAAAAGGCAGGATTATGATGCATGCATGTGACAAGCCTGAGAAGCTGCAACTTTTTCTCTGAATTGTTAAAAAATTGCGGGAATAGAAATGAAAAAGAGCAATATTTAAGATAAGTCGTCAGCGCTGTCGTCGTCCTCTGCTTGGTGCCCTTTGAAGCAAGCTGACTCATAGTGCTTGTTCAGGTAGGACTTGAGTGCAAAGCTTTTGTGACAGCGCTTGCAGGAGTAGTCCTTGAAGGCCGAGTGCGTCTGCATGTGGGCGCGAAGGTTGGAACGATCGGCGAAGGCTTTGCCACAGTGGGCACAGGCAAACGGTTTTTCTCCCGTGTGGGACCTCATGTGGCCCTGTAGCAGCCAGGGCCGACTGAAGGCTTTGCCGCACACAGTGCACTCGTGCTTCAGGTCGTGGGTCAGCATATGCATGGCCAGCGCCGGCATGGACACGTAAACCTTGTGGCATGTGGGACACTTCCTGGCCTGTTGACTGTCCAGGCTGCGGTGAGTCTGCTTGTGTCTGCTCAGATTGGAGGATGTGGCATAAGACTTGCCACACTCACAGCACATGTAGCGCCCTTTGGTTTTCCCTTTGGCAGGGCTGCAGTCTGCTGAGCCAGTCCCCTTGCTACTGTCTGACTTTCTGCCTCCCTTGCGTGGACACCGTTGGATGGGTCTCCGGCGGGAGCGGCCGTCAGAGATGAGGAGGTCATTGATGGTGCATGCCTCCAACTCAGGGCCGCTACTGTCTGACTCCACTGTGGCGGTGGAGACGGGGCTGTCCGGGTGCTCCATGTCGTGGTCTGAGAACTCTTCCCCACTGCTGCCACCTGGGGAGTAAAGGGGCCCTGAGGAGAACCCGGTCTGCTCCCGACCTGGCTCTTTTGTGCTCTGCAACATGGAGGGGATGATGTAATCATGGATGTAGCCTGGAAAAGTAAAACAAAAATTATTAAATGGAGATGGAAAAGATATTTCCATTTGTAACAACCTCTGATGACACATGTTCCCTTACTTATCCATCGAATCAATACGAAACCTCTACAGGAAGCAATTTGTAAGTGCCAGCTTCAGTCGGCCTTGAAAGGAAATCATGAATCTTTGGTGCATGGCTCTGCTTGGATCAATCCTACAAGTGCTGTAATTAAAAGAAACTAAATGGAAGGCCATCGTCGCTAAATATAAGTCAAACTCAATGTGCTGACATTGAAAAAAAACAGTCACAGAGCAACAGTTTGGCTCCCAATCAGTCCACGTGTTACCAGGCTGCAGCAGCAGCAGCTGAGTGAGTGTCTCAACAGTGAAATCCCCTCAATCACTAAATTATTTTAATCAGATCATTTCCCATCTGTGGCGTTTCTGAGAGTGTTCATGAGTATGGTAATGGGGAGAGTGAGTGACAGGTGTGCGGCTCCGATTTAGCAAAGAGAGAAGGGAGGGCCGAGGGGGGTGTGTGTGTGTGTGTGTGTGTGTGTG